TAATGACACCTCAGGTATGCCCCTCTCTAACAGACAATTCTGGAGTACAGCTGTGTCTAACGAATCGAAGACAGCCCTCATCTCAAGAAACAATGATTGTTGTCTTGCTTTACCTCTGGCGATTTTCAAGCATCTGGCAGAGGGTAAAGACATGACCAATGCATCCACGAACTGAGTAAAATCGGGCCTGCTTGCGAATCATTTCCTCACGTATTTTTCAAAGGCTGCGAAGTATGATAGCAGCTAATATTTTCGACGCGACTGGCAACAGACCAATATCCCGGTGATTGTAGCATGCGTTACGTAGACCCTTCTTAAAAATGGGCACACCAGCGGCTTCATTTCAGTGATGGAACACACTCTGTCGTATCTTCTCAAACAGTCTAGTCATTTCCCTAACTAGAGTCGTTCCTCCATCCTTTAAAAGAGCTTGTGGGTAAGTTGTCTGGGCCCTGTGCCTTATGACGCTCCAGAGATTGGAGTTCCTCATGGACCTCTGCTTCGTTAGGTGGGTCAATGTTAACTGACCATGGAGCACGATACACTAAAGCTGACGTTTCTGAAGCCGTGGCCCAGCTAAGCTGCTTTTCGAAATGCTCCACCCAGCGTTCCAGGCGTCTTTAAAGATTAATTATTGGCGTGCCATCTGTCCTACAGACCATCTCACTGACATTAAGCTTCTTGCTGCCAGTGGCTTGGATAAGTTGGAACAGCTCCTGACTGTTGCCAAATGCATCCGCTGCTTCCATCTCACTCGGGCGTTCTTGACCAGGAAGCCTCACAGTCCCTGCGTAAGCGTTGTGTAATCTTTCGCATAAGAGATTTACGCAAACAGTTGTACTCCCTATTTACCGGAGTGGTCTGACGGGCGTCAAGAAGTTGCAGGGAGCTCGCAGAAGCCCAGCGTTTATTAGCGAGACATTCTTCCAAGCCACAAACGGCTCTACTCTCGATTTTCATGGTGTTTGGAAGTACAACCAATGTTCGTCTACACTTTCTGGAGGATCGGTAGTTAGCCTTAAATCTAGCTCGGATCGGTATTTAGCTGCAATGTTATATGCAACTAATTTGCTTGCATTGACCTGCTTAGGACGACTATTTTGACGACCACCAAAACGCCAGACGAGTTTGCACACACTAAAGCATAATCAGAGTTCAGACAAGTACTCTATATAAAGCGGTAGTCCTTTGTGCACCCACTCCATAGGTAGCTGATTGCAGTATGATCTATTTGAGTCAGGCTTGAGTGACAGAGAGGACACTAAGTAGCACAACGGTGATGGCTGTACCGGAAGTTGGTGCGGGCTAGATATAGGTTGTGATCTGCGCAGTGCTTCGGAAGACGATCCCGATTATCTGACCTACGGCCAACTTGTCCCCATTGGCCGCCTAAACGACTCTTCTCTGGTCCTAGACGTTCGACCTGTGCATTCAAGGCCCCAGGTAGCACTACGATATCTGTCGACCCCACTTGTGTGAGTAGGTCACTCAGTTGATGATAGAATTCATCCTTGGTTACATCCGGGCTGCAATCCGTCGAAGCATAGGCAGGAATGTTAAAGAGGCTTCGTTTCCCTTAGTCGTTTTTTTACTCGAGTTGAACCTCCTAGCCTAACAGCACACAGACGACTGTTGATGGGGATCCAGTTGAGTAGCGCCGCTTCGGCCTGAGTTCTTAGTGCGACACCGACGAGGCCGGTTGCCGATGCCACAGGGTCCATGAATAAGCTCATACGAAACATTTTTCGAGCTGACAGATGGGGAACTAATTAGAAGCGCTTCACTGGGATCTTGTATATGAGTCTCTGAGATGCAGCATACATCAGTAGCGAGGCTTTCTAGAATTCTAGCCAAACCTGCCTGTTGTCCAATGTGCATCAAGGTGCTAACGTTGAAGATTGCGAGTCTAAACGGTATGCGTGGTTTCAGGATAGTTGTCAAATGTCGCACTGGAGGACAGTTTAATGGGGATAGCTGGTTAGCGACTCAAAACGGTACAGATGGACCATGAATCTAATCAATAAAGAACAGTGAGTTAAGTGAAGATAAAGACAAACTAAAATGATAACTGATAAATACAGTTCATATGCAAAACAATGTAGCAATAAATTGAGTAATTGATCAAAAAGTTCGTGATGCGGAGAGCTTAGGTATATGCAGAAAAATTGGTTAATTGCCTCGATATTTTCATTTTATATTGGAAATTCATGTTTCGTGTGAGGAATCCAAAGGGCAAACAACGAGTTGGGCGTCCGAGGGTGACATGGAGAAGATTGTGTGAGGAAGAAATAAAATCTTGTGGACAGTGGTGAAGGCATGTTGAAAAGACTGCAGAGAAGAGGGTGAAATGGCGACGTGCTACTGAAGCCCTTATGTTCCACTAGGAACCCAAAGGACGAATAATAATATTAATTTCGTATGAGGGCTAGTATGCTGCCTGGGTACCTAAACCAAAACAGTGGGTTGCCTTGAGGGACCACTGCCTGAGCCTTCGAGTTAAAGTCCAGTCCTCAAGACAGTGGGGCAACATCAGGAGCTGCATTGCCACGTTTACCGGTGACCAAAATAGATTCGTACGCCATTCGTTCCATCTAGAACCTGGAGCCCACGAGCACCATTGGTGGTTTGGAATCAGGGTTTTCCAACTTAGGGAATATACCCATTAATTCATGAATAAAAACGAGACATGTCAGCGAAAAAATATTTCTTTCCAACGACCACATTATCAAGCCGTACAGTCGTATTTATAATCGGTAAAATGATAGGTAATTGCACTAAAAGGTTGCTCCATCTACATGCAAAGTATACAATAGGTGCTAGTGTTGGTATTTGTTCAAGTGGAAGAAATAGAAAATGGGTCACTGAATAAGGAACGAATTGATTTTAAACAGTGAAGTATGGGGGGTCAAATGCTGTCAGTGAAGTGAGAATTAGTGATAATGATGATGATAATAATAAAACAGAAGTATACCAAAGTGAAATGATTTCTGTCAATAAATATTTCAAGATATCCGTTATTCGGTAATTTTGTCCTAAGAGTTTCGATTTCATTATCCACCGTCTCTTCTGAATACATTTTATAGATTCTGTTCAGAAAGCACGTCGGATGATGAAATGGAAACTCTTAGAACAACATTACCGAATAACGGATATCCTAAAAGATTTATTGATAGGAATCTGAAGAAACGAATCACTCCTCATCCTATTACAGTTGCTGAGAAAACCTTAACCATGAATCTGGAATTCAAAGCAGACACCATTGCCGAAGTGCTGAAAAGCCGTCTGTCAAAGTGCATCAATGGTAGATTTATGCTGCTAGACTGAGGTTGATATTCTCCAGCCGCTCTCTTGTTTGACAATGCTTGAAGGATAGGCTTCCACTTATGTCCACATCTATGTGTATCTACAAATTCGCTTGCTGCTGTGGCGCTATATTGGGCGTTGTAAGCGGGCCCTCCGAAAACGTGTTGCTAGTTTGGTTTACCAAAGGCGAGTAAAGGAAAACGACTTCATCCATATGTGAACATCTTGTTGAATTAGGTCATCAGCACATCGAGGTTCATCCTTTAAAATAATTTACAAAGTTAAATTGAACTACACCAAAGGTTTGCGTTTCCACCATTTATGCGTAGCTGAAGCACTAGCTATACATGAACAAAAACCGAAACTTTGCATTCAAAAACTTTTTTCTCTACCATGGCCTTAATAATTCATTTTAGTTAGTTTGTGAGTTTCATCTCACTTCACCTTGGTATACTTCTGTTTTATTATTATCATCATCATTATCACTAATTCTCACTTCACTGACAGCATTTGACCCCCCATACTTCACTGTTTAAAATCAATTCGTTCCTTATTCAGTGACCCATTTTCTATTTCTTCCACTTGAACAAATACCAACACTAGCACCTATTGTATACTTTGCATGTAGATGGAGCAACCTTTTAGTGCAATTACCTATCATTTTACCGATTATAAATACGACTGTACGGCTTGATAATGTGGTCGTTGGAAAGAAATATTTCTTCGCTGATACATGTCTTGTTTTCCAAGTTTCTTGGATGGACCCTTAGCATCCACCGCTCCCGTAATAAGCCCCGTGCAACCGCTTGGGCCCTTTCACATCTGTCGAAACACCTGTGCCACGTGAAGGAAGTGAATAGGACCCCTGTGATAGAGGCTGTAAACGCACATGGGCGCATTTGAGGGCCCTCCGTCTGACGCAACGATGTCTGGTTGTCTCTCAGTAACCAAGTATATTGCCCTACAGTTTGCGCTCTTCTTCTGTATGAGTATAGAACATCCGCATTAAAAGCAAAATATACTAAAATCCAGTATATTCTTTCCAAACATATATTGCTTTCCCTTTATCGAAGGCAAGCAAATGACTGTGTTGGACGCAAAGATTAAAGCAAAGAATGAACAGTTTCTATTCATTGAGCATATCGGTCATTATAAATATAAGGTAGTAAGTTCACGCTACCATTTACGAAAAGACGATAAGAAAAATCAAGAATGAGACTAAAATTACACGTACTGCCAACCACATTGCATATGTTATACATCACAATCTAAGAATCTACTTCTTAACAGTGAAGGAAACTTTAGAGATTTGAGTAACCAGGTAGTATCACTAACCCTCACAAAAGTTATGTCTCATTGCTGTTAGAAAGATCCTGCGCGTAGTTTGTGAGTTACATTAATTCGTTTCCTATCCAAAATCCCTCGAATGGTAGTCGGTGCAATCCAGTTCTTAAGCTTTCTTTTGCCTAGGACAAGACGCAGGCCAAACACACTCAAATATCTGTTTGCAGTGTTCAGAAAACCGTGCATTTTGTGTAGATATAGTCCCTCGATATTTTAATTTCCTTTTTGTGGAGTTAGGTTTTGCGGTCTTGCAATAAAATAATCTGATTTGTGTGGATCGGCTTCCGAAAACCGTTTTTCTACATGATTTCACTCTCAACAAATTACTTGACCACTCACAAATTACAACTATCTTGTGAAGTTTATGTCCTTGTACACATTTTGTAACTATGAGCATATTCTGTTTTCCGCATTGTTCAGAAAGGGTCATCCACTTATTTAATTCATAGTTTTAAGCTGGATGTTAGTTGCAATGGATTCATGTCACTGCATAACTTCGGTTATATATCTTAAAGAATCGACTGAAGAACATAGCATAGTAACTACTAGAATAACTAATTAGGTTTCGTTATTTGTTGAAGAAGTTATCCTCCTAGTCGAAAACCAGAACCTGACTAGTTATTTCAGTAGTTGCTAGATCAGTCTTCAGAAATATCCACCTTAAACTGAAGTTTACTTTGATTGACTCATGTGTTTTTGTTGAACTAGAACTATGTAAGAAAATATCAACATCATTTATACATGAAGAAGCGCATTGCAGTAGAGAAGATAAAATGACGGTAGGAAATCTTCACATGGTACCCGAATCTGTCAGAGAGAGAAAGGATCTGACGTAAAATATAGCATTGAAGTACACCTTTGTACGTCCCCATACTTCATAGCAGCATTAAAGGAAGGGGTGACAATAAGATAACAAAAGTATATGAAAAAAGTGAGGATAGATAGAGGTGAATAAAATCAATTGTGTTAAATGATGGGAGATTCTTTTCCATATATCAAGAGTATTTTGGAATTAGTGAATAATCCACTGCAAAGCTTTTTCAAGGCATCTAAAAATGTGCGAATGATTCAATAACTGAGGCAAAAGAAGTGAAGTTTTATATGCACTACTTACTTCAAAGACTGTATTTGATAATTCTGTTTCTCTGCTGCCTGCCATTTTCATGCAAACCTACTACTTCAGTAAGTCTAATCAAAGTTTTAGAGTTATTCAAATGAACAAGCAAGGGAAACATATATAGCGCTGAACGCTACTTAGAACCCAATGGAGAAGTGTTTACGAAGCCGGCGCCCATATGTGACTTTTCAAAAGAAACAACTTTTCTTGTAAAGGATAGATGTTTTTTTCAAAACTACTGTGCCACCAAGCAAAGAGTAATAGAATTGTCTCTAATTTAACAGACGAAATACCAAAACGAATCAAAGGAATGCTCATCTGGTAGTTTTTATGGGAGGAATTAAGGCAACCGGAGTACTTGCTTCTTGAGTTCGCTAAGTAAAGACGCATAAATCAGGGAATAAGAAACATCCATATGGTCATCTTCACCAATCAGATAAAGAGTCCGGATATAAACGATAATGGCTAACCCCAAAATCGTATCTTGACTTTGCAAACTATGAAAAGACTGATAAGAACCAATATAAATACTAAACTTCAAAAATTAGACCTGTATCAATAAACCAATCACTAAGGGTGCTATGAATCAAACACCCACCTACTATTCAATCAGGCAAAAGCTATCCTTATAAATATTGATAAAAGGTATATAGGATCCCTTGTGTTGCCACGCAGCATCGAAGATGACGCCTAGATTAACGTCTGAAGTTTTACTCATGAAAGCTCTAGCTCATGTACTAAACAGCAGTTAGGATGTTCAAAATTTGAGTTGCAAATATTTATCGCTGCTTACATTTGTTTAATTATGTAGAGTTGAATGTTACATTCTGCTTTATTTCGGTTTAATTCCTTTAAATCTTGGGTTGTATCCTTCTCGTCTTATTGCCATGTCTGTATCCCACTCGTCATATTTCTTTTCGTTATCTCTCTCCATATAACTTCTCACGAGTTTTCATAACATTTTTCTTCTATATTTATCTATTTTGCATTTTTCCGCCGCGTGTCTGTTGTACTAATATGAAGTGTCACAGCTAGAAGCGTTACGTAGCTAATTCCAGATCTGACGATATGGCTGACTGACTTACTGTTATTACTGTTATGGTTTGGTGACCCGAGATTTGGTTACTTTCTCCTGGGAAGCTGGGTGTAGCTCATAATCTGGTACACAAATGTGTAATGCATTGCTGAGTTTTATTCTATATGCATTTGTGAAACCAAATATTTGTATCTTAGTCTTGCTCTAAGTTTTCACCAGTAAGTAATAATTTAAAAGTTTGCAATGTACTTACACTTTGTAGTGTTTATGCACTAGGCTGTAGGCCATATTCATTTTGTGGAAGCCTGTGATAACTATCCTGTCGTCCGGATAGAAGTAGATGCAGCTGGATTTGAACCCGAAACCTTTTGGTTGGAAATTGAGTGCTCTTACCAATGAGCAGCATATCCACTAGTAGGTATTGCGTTACTGGGATGCAGTTTAGTGACTCACGTTGTGTTTCGACGATTTGAACGTTATTATTTATTATTATTAGTCCCTTGGGTTCCTAGTGGAACATAGGGCTTCAGTAGCACGCCTCCAGTGACCTCTGTTCTCTGAGATCTTTTGAACCTGGTTCCACGACAGCCCAGAAGCTCTCATTTCCTCCTCGCATGACCTCCTCCATGTCACCCTCGGACGTCCAACTCGTCGCTTCCCATGGGGATTCCACTCGAGGGCCTGACGCGTGATGTCCTCAGTCGGCCTTCTCAGTGCATGGCCAATCCATCTCCACTTCCTCCTGCATATTTGTTGGGTGATAGCTTCTTGGTTGGTTCGTTCCAGAGTTCCTTGTTGCTTATTTTTTTCTGGCCATCTGATCTTCAGCAGCGAGCGTAAGCAGTTGTTGATGAATGTCTGTAGTTTATTGGAAATACCTTTCGTGACGCGCCAAGTCTCTGAGCCATACAAGAGCACTGACTTGACGTTGGTGTTGAAAATCCGTATCTTGTTCCAGATGCTGAGTGCAGAAGATCTCCACACTGGTTTCAGGCTAATGAACGCCTGTCTTGCTTTTCCGATTCTGACTTTGACGTCCTCGTCCGTCCCGCCTGTAGTTGAAACAATGCTTCCTAGATAAGTGAAGGAGGTTACTTCCTTCAAGTTTCTCCCGTTGACGGTGATTGGAGTTTGTTGTTGTTGTTGTTGATGGTGGTGGTGCGGTATCTTCATCACTTCTGTCTTCTCTATATTCACCTGAAGTCCCGTCTTGGCTGCCTCTTCTGTCAACTTGTTAGTTTTTGCCTGCAGATCTTCAAGTTTATGTGACATTAGGCATAAGTCATCGGCGAAATCCAAGTCTTCTAGGTTCTTTTCCGTCGTCCAGTGTATCCCCCTCTTCTCGCTGCCTACTGTTTGCTGCATGACTCACGTTGTGTTTCGACGATTTGAACGTGGTTTAATAAAATTGTCTGTCACACCTCCATGTCATTAAAATTATGTTTTAAACTTGACTATTTATCCGTAAATTTAGACAGTTAAAGATAAATGTTTCTTTGGTGGCAAGTGGAGGTGATTGAATGAAGATCTTAAAGCAGATTAATCAAAGACCTAACGGTTGGTAACAGTATTTTATTTGAGATTTCTGAGAGATAATACTGTTGACAATATTTAAGGTCAATGGCTTCTGTGGTTGAAAGTCACAGCTAAGTAGGAATTTATCGCATTTAACGTTGAATAGCTTTGAAATTAAATTTGCTCGATAGTGCGTGTATTCAGTATTCATAACTGTATATTTTGTTTCAGTGACAAGTGTTTACAGCTATGAGTATTTTACTCCGATTTCTGAATATATTACTGGCCTATGGGTTTTCTTCGATCCCCGTATTTTCGTGACTTTATATTTCCTCCTTCCTCTCCTCACTGATACAATGGGACAACTTCAACGAGATATTCTGTTTTTTGTCTACTAGTCTGTTTCTGTGACATCCATATTTATTTACCCTAGAAGAAGCAGTTCTGTCGTAAAGCGTTTATCGTGAAACACATGTTCCTTTCGTAAATATCCTGAAAGAATATTGTTATTTTTCTAATCAGCTTGAAAACTAGAGTAGTAATTAGCACTACCATCAGCTTTTTCTTTTTGTTTTTGGAGCATCTAGCATGTTTGATGCAGAATTTATACTTAACTACTAAATACTTAGTTGTATTTGTTTACAGGCTTACATTTTTCCTCTCTTTTAACTTTCAGTCTGGATCATGCAAGTTGGGAAGATTTCGTTGGTTGTATCGGTACTACCGCTGATTTAGTCGCTATCTGTATCCCAGATTCCAGCGAAAATGCTCCTATTCGTGCTATGTTTATTGGCAGGCAACGTATCTGTATCACTAAAGCAACACGTGACTCATCATAGTAATTCTTTTTCATTCAAGTTGTATATATGGTGCAAGATTTTGTTTTGGTATAAGCTTACTTATCATCCCTTTAGTTATTGGCATAATAGCCCCCCAATAGTTTAGTCTTAACATCTGACTTCAGCACTGAGTGGCGTGGGTTCGAACCCCAAAAGACATCAGTCACGTCGAGGTTGCAGATACCTCCTGCTGACGAGTGCCAGCAAGCACAAAACCTAGTCCCATTGTTTTCTCCGACTGCCTCCAACCGTTTAATAATACCCTAAGATTAAGGCATATATTACTTGGTATTTCTTTTGACCTTACTTGAACTGACTTGGAAAAATACAGGTAAATTGGAGCTCAGCGACCACTAAATGCTGGTGCCGTAAGGAATAAAGCACCTCATGTGTGATGGTTTATGATACTGCCTGACTGCCCAGACCTCGTTAGATGAATAAGAGTACGAACCTATGGATCAGTGGTTGAAAGTTGAGTACCTCGACCAATGAGCTACATGCTCGCTGAATTCCCTTGCTTTTTCCTAACTGAATCAATAATCAGATTTTAAAAATTATCCAACATACCTGGCTTTTGGTTCTTGAGTGGAAAATGAAGGTTAAGAAAGTCATAAGGTCATTATATTTTTGCTGGTTAACTGTCAATTAGTTACTGTAAAGAAATTTATTATCCCGTGTTATCAATAGGTAGTGATAGGTCCTTGTGAAATTGTTTATTTTCTTGAATTCTCAGGGTTGTTTTTATGTCATTGTTGAGTATTTACACATCCATTGATTATTGGATAAGTTGTGTTGTTTATCTGATGAACTAATCATAATATTCAGTGTAATGACATGATATCAAAGTCAACTATTTCTAAATATGGTATCGAAGTTTTTGTGCGTAGACTAACTTTAGTGCTTAATATTGCCAGGTAAACAGACTATCTCGTTGTGTAACTAAATCTTGCCTAGAAATATCTAAAGCAGGAAACATTTGTGGATCACCTAGTTTTGCTAAATCTGATTCTACAGACGACAGTTATAGATAGAACTAAAGTAATGGGTTTAATTTTTAAAGGTGACTCACTGTGAGTGTGGTTATTTCAATTTATCTTGCTTAACGGCTTATGGTAATGTTGTGATGAGAAAGTAGACATCTGGACTTCACCTACGAGCAATTTCAGTGCTAACCCACCTTCCTCTGTCACTATTTGATGAGCCGTCATCCTAATTAGACTATGGAAGGATGTCATTTAGGTTACTTTCTCTATCAACGATGTTTCTCTTAATTTTAAATGTATACTAGTCATTTTCGCGTTTTCATTGGTTGTATCCGTCCAAACGTAGATAAGTATATTTTAAGCGGTTCAGAGAATTTCACCGTATAAGACAAACCCGTAGAAAGTCAGAAAAAACACTCATCTCTCAAATGATGTATGCTCATATATGAAGTCAGAGTAGTGAACACGTTCTGTTCACTTTAAATTGCAGTTTTGATGTGAATCCCCAGTCGATTACCAGGTTTACAACAAATGGTTGTAGATGGTAGCATAAATGTTGTTCATCTTTCACTTGAGCGTTGCAAATCATCAGAAAGTCTCAATCAGTAGTTTTTAAAAACCCACCTGCAAATCGATAAGTTCTCATTCAAACGATTTTTATATGATTTTTTTCATGACTCACTGAGCAATTTTCGCCAATTAAGTTAAGTAACGCTTTCAAAAATTGTTCACGCCACTCAATTTTCAGTAATAATTTCATCATTACAATCTGACCTTTTTCATGTTGCTCGTAGACTAATGTAACCCAAAAAGACTTTTATCTATCTTTAAAAGCATGTCAATATTAATATTTATATGCATTTCGCGTTTTCACTTGTCTTGGAACCGTAGTGAGAAAGTGAGTTTCACTTTGAAAGTGCTGGATTTAGGAATAACCTGGCAGCTATTTCCCGAATTTAGGTTGTTCCTGTTTCAGGTCAATATCACGTATTAGTTTTCCTCACAGTTAGTTACCAAACATCATTACTTGGAGTTTTGCCGAAGGGGTTTCGTATTGGTACTGAATTTAAAGACTAATCTTAAACGGTATCAGGATTTCGTAGAGAGATTTATATGGCTTACAGTTATTAGTTTCACTTCCGAAGTCGAAAGTAATTGGGTCATCGTACTCTGTTTTGTATATTGTTAATTGACGTCTTACGATTGTTTTGAGAATTGATGTTTGTGAATGACTTTGAGGTGAAGTGAGCAGATATAATCTAACCATGAAATTGGACTTGGTTTCATTTATTTTTCTTAGTTGGTGTGAAATATAGTGATTTACTTTATCTGTTTTGTTACCATTTGTAAAAGTTTTGATGTAGGGTATCATAGTGTCTGTTTTCACTTGTTGCTTGTAACAGTTTTTGCTGATTAGGTGAGGTTGTGAACCTTAATCGACTGAGGTGGTTTGGACATCTGTTACATATGTCGAGCCACTACCTACCTTGCTGTGCAATATTAGCTGAAGTAAGGTTAGGTTGGAAGAAGATTCAGGGTAACCGGACCAAGAGGTAGTACCAGTTCACGAAGTCCCTAACCGTTGGTCTGTGGCATGTAGAAAAGTGTAGATTGGCTGTTTGCCTCCTCGAGGTAATAGGAATCAATAGTTTGCAACCCCTTGGTGAGATGGTCAAAAATCTGTCACAATGGTGCAGATGTATTCACTCTTTGACGTCTTCTGAAGCTTGAACATTTTCACTAACCTTGACTTTCGAATTCTCTCTCCTGCCATACACCTGTCTACCTTAATATCATTCTTTTTCTACCCACTTGTTTCTCACTTGCTGCTGTAATGTATGGCAACTCGAACCGATACATTTCTGTGAGACTGAATTCAAAAGAATTAATGTTGACACACTGGAACGTATTATTCCACGGCAACATTAGATAGACAACTCTTTCAGAAGAAACCCCGAGTTCTATTTTTATTCGACATTTTCCTTCATAAGACCTTTGGAACTACTGCTCATCTTTGTTCTTATTTGTTACTTAAATCATTTCTTTCATTTACAGTCCTCTCGTATGTCATGGCACAATTTTGCCGGAAGCATCTTTCAATCGTGAAATGGCTAGTCATCCTTTGGGTTGGGGTTTAGTTCCTCGATCATGGGCGCGTTTCGCTCGTGATCCACAACCAACACGTTCAGCTACATGCACTTCTGTTGGATCAGTGCAAGGTTCATCTTCTGTTCAGCCTACAAAGTATGTTAAGCACGTTAATTTAAAAGGTTACTACTTAATTATGTTACTTTAAAGAAAAAGTTTCTGTATGCAGGTTAGAGTGCGTAACAGCTTCTATTTATTATCAACATACATTTCTTGTTGTCATTACTTCTACAGATCTCCGAGTAATCGCTCTCCTCAAGATAGTATTTCTAATACTCCATCAAACCACCTTACAGAAAAATTATTTCATCCACCAGCTGGAAATCCATTTTCTATTTTCGATTCCCGGTTAAGCACATGGAGGAATACCGGACCTGTCAATTCTGGAAATATATCTTCATCAGGCTGTTTTACAAGTGCACGATTTGATCATTTTGTTGATGATAATTTGGAGCAAGAAAGTAATTCGAAGAAATTAAAGTGTGATCTTGATAAGATTGATAGTGAGTTCGACTGTGATGTGAATTGTGAATCAACTCATAGTGATGGGACACAATCTATTAAGTCAGTAACAAAACTTGTTAGATCCTCCTCACTTTCAGAAGATATTGAATTAATTATGGATCGTGCTGTAGACCGAGTTGGTCGACCTTTTCGCTATCGTATCAAACAATTTTGTGATCCTCGTCTATTGGCACGTCGTGATGTTTTAGCTGCAGTTGCACAAGCTTATGTTTCTTTACCGGTGTGGGTTTATCGGCAGTATGATTTGGTGAGTTCAGTACTTTAGCTTTTATAGATTGTTTTCGTTAGATCATTTTTCTCAAAATGACTACATGAACACAAATTATATTCCCATAATGATTTCGTTAATAAATAGTAATTGTTACCTTTTTAATAACGCCACTTCATGTTTTCAGATGTCGATAAGGGATTGTTTATGCAAAGATAACATATTACTTTTCTAAGGCTATGATTGATAAAGTAGTCGAAAATATTCGATTTGCTTCACATCATCATCATCATTATCAACATAGGACCAGGCATTACTGCGTAACGGTCCGAGTTGCCACACCTCATATCAGCACATCAAGTAAAAAGGTAGTGAGGTGAAGGATGAAGATAAGTGAATGCAGTCAAAGAAATATAAAGTATGAGAAGAAAGGAAAGAGGAGTGACAAAATAGTGAGATTCGGTATAGCGTTGTTAAGATGAGGATAATGTGTGTATACATCTGCGCCACTGACTTCGGTTCTGAGCCATATCACCTAGGGTCTCCAACCACTGGTTCCTCTTGTCCCGTGGACCCCAACCACCTAGTCTGCATCGTCCTACATGGCTTAAACCAACAGTCAGAGACTTCATACATTGGTGCCATGTTTTAGTCTGGCCACCTCGGGCCTTTTTCCAGCCTGAACCCACCTCAGCCAACATTGTGTGACGAGGCAATCGGTGACTAGGCATACGTAGTACGTGTCCCAACCATCTCAGTCGATGAAGGTTCACAACCTCGTCGACTGACTTACCTTTCTCCCTAAACTCTACACCTAACTTCTGCGTTACTCACATGGTGACACCACGGAATACGTCCTATACTACGAAGGCAACGGTGGTCAAATACCTGTAACCTTCTCATGTCTTCCACTTTCAATGGCCATGTTTCACAGCCATACAGTAGAACAGAGCGGACTGCTGTGCAGTACACGCGACCCTTAATAGACAAACGAATATCACGGCGGCGCCATAGGTGGCGCAAATTGGCAAAAGCCAATCGAGCCTTTTGTATCCGTGCCGAAATCTCACCGGCAACTAACCCACCGGGGTTGATCCTACTTCCCAGGTAAGTGAAGTGGTCAACACACTCAACCACATAGGACTCTACCTAATTGCTTCATCTTATTCTGAAACGTAAAACTATCGTTTATCGTTATTTATAGCATGTTGTCTACTGATTGTTTTGTCGTAGGCTACATTAGAAAAGATAATAACTTCATATTTCTCAAATACAGAGGAGTATATCTACGGTTCCAGCTTCATAAAAACATGTTCGTGTAAACACTTAAACCGTTGGCATTTCTTTTTAGTTATTCATTATTATACGAAGTATCAACCAAATAACCTACTTCACCTTAAAGGGGATACTTTAGATTCTGCAATTGTCATTGCGCTTCTTGAACATTTTAGAAGAAATTACTTTCGATAACTGACACATTAACATGAAATCAAACCTATTAATCGGTTGAGAACTGTGATGAAAAACTATTTACAAAAGAACCTGATCTCTCTCGCTTTATGTTTCTGGAATGTCGCAATGGAGAATTTCATCTTGATTAAAATATCTGAGATAGTCTTGGTTAATTTCGTATTAATGTTCGAGAAAGATTGCTGCATTTGAAACAAAACCGGGTTTGCTGCAGGTTTCAAATTAACTAGTCAGATACCCTATCAATTTTTGATTTTTTAAAAGCCAACCATTCAGAGTTTTGTTTCACTGTCGTATGAATCTATGTTCATTCATCCTCAAACCAGCTGCTAAGCTAGGTTATCTCAACCTATTTTAAATCATACTGATTTAGAACACAAGGAGCGACTAGTTGATTCGTTACTTGACTACTTTGACAAACAAAATAGAAAAAGCTGTAATAATCTTGTAAATCTTGACCTAGTAGTACACACATATGCTGGTCGTTTGCAAAAATTAGCCGAAAATAAGTGGGATTAAAAAGAAAAGCACCATCTAATTTGATGATTATCCACATCCTTCCAATTGTCTAAATAAACTGCCCATCTCTCCTTTGCCTAATGTTTGGCTAATACTATGTCCAGATTGTATCTCCTTTATACTCTCCTAGTCACTAATTAGTATTTTTTGTACTGAGATGGCGAAAGAAAAGTTAGTGAATGCTTAGCTGCGACATGAAATGTAAGTGCAAATGTACAGTGATCGTCTTTATCGCAATTTAACCATATTATATGACAGTAAAACGAGCTCCAGCTTAGCTAATAGAATTACATAAGTATATGTTCATGGAAGTGTCATTTATTCTGTAAATTGTTAAAGGAAACATAATGATTAGAATTATCATAATCATCATCATCATTATCAACATAGGACCAGGCATTACTGCGTAACGGTCCGAGTTGCCACACCTCATATCAGCACATCAAGTAAAAAGGTAGTGAGGTGAAGGATGAAGATAAGTGAATGCAGTCAAAAGAAATATAAAGTACGAGAAGAAAGGAAAGAGGAGTGACAAAATAGTGAGATTCGGTATAGCGTTGTTAAGATGAGGATAATGTGTGTATACATCTGCGCCACTGACTTCGGTTCTGAGCCATATCACCTAGGGTCTCCAACCACTGGTTCCTCTTGTCCCGTGGACCCCAACCACCTAGTCTGCATCGTCCTACATGGCTTAAACCAACAGTCAGAGACTTCATACATTGGTGCCATGTTTTAGTCTGGCCACCTCGGGCCTTTTTCCAGCCTGAACCCACCTCAGCCAACATTGTGTGACGAGGCAATCGGTGACTAGGCATACGTAGTACGTGTCCCAACCATCTCAGTCGATGAAGGTTCACAACCTCGTCGACTGACTTACCTCTTCTCCCTAAAACTCTACACCTAACTTCTGCATTACTCACATGGTGACACCACGGAATACGTCCTATACTACGAAGGCAACGGTGGTCAAATACCTGTAACCTTCTCATGTCTTCCACTTTCAATGGCCATGTTTCACAGCCATACAGTAGAACAGAGCGGACTGCTGTGCAGTACACGCGACCCTTAATAGACAAACGAATATCACGGCGGCGCCATAGGTGGCGCAAATTGGCAAAAGCCAATCGAGCCTTTTGTATCCGTGCAGAAATCTCATCGGCAACTAACCCACCGGGTTGATCCTACTTCCCAGGTAAGTGAAGTGGTCAACACACTCAACCACTTCACTCTCTATTGTTAACCGCGGTACCGCTGAAGACCAGTCCTGGAGCAAAAATTTGCATTTGGGTGGTGAAAATCGCATCCCAAACATTCTCAAATTCCCACTCAAAGTGTTCAGAAGACTCTGCATCTTGTCAGCGTCTTCACCTAACAGGACTATGTCATCTGCATATTCTAGATCTAAGGAAAATTCACCTGTGATCCGGTCAACGTCTTTGTAATTAGGTGACGAGAGGGAAACCTCCATAAGAATATCTATGATAAAATTAAATAAGAATGGGGATAGTGGGCATCCTTGACGGACACCACTTGATGAGTATAGCTCCCTGGACAACTCACCATAGGCTCTAACATGCCCACAAGTGTTCGAGTAGAGAGCTTTCAATAAGGTGATGTACTTACTAGGCACGCCTTTCAGTGACAGACACTGCCATAAGACTTCTCGATCAACGGAGTCAAATGCCGCCTTCAGGTCGAGAAATACAGCTATTGTCGGGCGTCTGTAAGCATGCCTATGTTCCAGGACCTGGCGCAGTGTGAATATTTGGTCGATACATCCACGGCCAGGTCTAAAGCCTGCCTGGTTTTCTCGGGCTTGCTGTTCCCGAGCTCCACTCAGGCGTCGGAGAATTATAGAACTTAGGATCTTAGACACTATGTTTGTCAGGCTGATTCCTCTGTGGTTATCACAAGAGGACTTCTCGCCTTTCTTGAAGACTGGGATGATGAGTGACTTAGACCAGTCGGAGGGGATCGTATTTGATTCCCATATACTGGCTAACACTTCCGTTAGCCTGACTAAGAGAACTCTACCACCATTCTTGTATACCTCAGCAGGTAGTCCGTCTGGTCCTGCTGCCCTTCCCCGTTTCAGGCTACCTACCGCTTTCTCAACTTCTTCTAGTGTTGGGGGACCTGTCTCTATGTCCCATTCAGGGTCCGACTGGATAGCGGGCAGCGCAATGGTGGCTGGAGGCCAGTTAAACTGTTCCTCAAAGTGTTCTGCCCATCGTCCCAGTCGCCTTCCCTGCGAGTGAATCGCCGATCCGTCCTTCTCCGCTATAACCTCACTAACTGTTGTTGACCATTTCCCCCCAGTCTCCTTAATAAGTCTAAATAACTGTCTACTGTTACCGATCGCCGCTGCCTTTTCCATCTCTTTAGCCTTTGCTGCCCACCACTGTTCACGATCGTTGCGCAGACTTTTCGTCAGTTTATTTTTAAGTTGCGCTCGCTCTTCATTGTACTCAGAGCCTGCAGGGATGCATTCACGTGCATCCATTAGTTTGGAAGAAGCTGCTGATATCCACTGGCTCTTTTTAGCCATTATCTTGGAGTCGGCTACAGTCTCCAGTGCTGCTTTTACAGTAGACTGAAGATGGCACCAAGCTTCTTCTGGATGAGTGACAGTCTTTTGTTCCGATAACTGCCTAGCCAACTTCTCACTGAACACGGCTTTGGTGTTTTCGTTGTCCAGCAGAACTCGTAGTGGTTTTGTTGCCAAATTTTTTCTACGTCCATTGAGACGCAGGCATATACGTGCTCGGACCAACGCATGATCGCTGTCCAAACACGTACTCCAGAAGGAGCGGCAGTCTTCCACCGATCCTCTCCAGCGATGACTAATAGCAATGTGGTCTATCTGTGTCCATCGCTGAGTCGAGCTCGGTGGACGCCAGGTCAGACAGTGCCTTTCTTTATGTCTGAAATTTGTGCTGGCTAAAAATAGGCGGTTATCTGAGCATAGTTGTAATAGGCGATCACCGTTATCTGTACGTTCAGCTGGGATTCCGAAAGTGCCACCTAAGTGCCTTTCTGCCTCACTCAGTCTACCCACCTGTGCGTTGAGGTCACCTGCAACAACCACTACGTCCGAACGTTTGGCTTTCGAGAGGAGGTTAGACAGTTTATGGTAGAACTCGTCCTTCACTTCATCCGAACTACAGTCAGTGGGTGCGTAAGCAGAGATTACAAAGAGACAACGGCGAGTCTCACTATTCCTTTTAGTTCTCACTGTGCCGTTCAGCCTCATAGCGCAGAGGCGACTATCAACTGGGATCCAGTCTAGTAGTGAGTTTTCTGCCCTGGTGCTTAATGCTATACCTACACCTGCAAGACCACGAGAGCTAGCTATCGAATCTCCAGAAACTCGAAGGGTGAATTTTGCAGATTCACCAGATTGGTCAGGAGAGGTCAGGTGAATAACCACACTTGGGTCCTGTATGCGTGTCTCACAAACACAGCACACATCCATGCCTCGAGTTGCTAGAGTCTTTGCCAACGAAGCCTGTTGGCCAATTTGACGGAGGGTGCGGACATTGAAGGCTCCAATATGTAATTTGGAGCGTGGTTTAAGGAGACCAGGGACGCTGTTCTGTGGACTCAGATCGTTGTCGAAGGCTGCAGAGGTAGGAGAAATTGAAGATGATGCAGCATCATTAATTAAGAGACGTGAAGGAAGATTAGAAGGTAATGATGGAGGAGGAGGATAGCAGTCAGAAGAAACTTGGGTGCTGACAGAGTTGTGAGGGCGGTTGACACTTCCCGGCTGCCCACACCGTGGAAGGCTATTTCTTCTTAAGGTACCTGAAAGAGATTTGTGTGACCGCAGAGCCCATCGGACATCTGCTTGAGGCCTGTCACACCCAGCCTTTTGAGTATGATTATTTTGAATTTTTGTATTTTTGGGGCCGGATGGTCGAAAGGAAACGACAAGTGAACCAACACCGCCGGCCCGGCAGACCGTGGGGCGTGGTGGAGTGTGTTATTTTTGGGGCCGACCTTTTCTAACCCCCCCTTCCACTGAGAAGGCAGCATCAGCTTGGCACTGCTGGTCATCCAAGGGAAACACCTTACTGCTGTCACACCCCATCCAGCTAGCAGCAGTACGACTTCGCCCTCAGACCCCCATCATAGTGTAGCAATTTACACTATAACGGTAACTGCTTTTCGTCTAACCACTACCCAACAGACCTTTCTGGTATGGTAGGACCTCGAGGGAACAAGCGTTCCACCAGCATAGCTCGTTGGGTCATTGTGATATGCAAGCCCGACCACCACGTCAAGGTAGCAGCTATCGGTCGGAATTATCATAAAGCACTTATATGTTAGCTTCAGATACGTAATCTCTAGTAGCTTATACGGGAAGGTGTACGAAGGTAAGATGAAAATAACAAAGAGCGATTCACTTCATAATAGTCTTGAAGCTTACATAATTTATAGATTATCTACTCAGTTACTCTTCAGACTATATGCACATTTTTCGTGAACTTGTTTTTCTACCTTTAATTGTTTCAAATGCATTTCATTAAAAACTAGGACTTGTTTTTCTGCATGTAACAAATCTAATCTATTGAAATACAAAATTTCTCAAAACACTGACCTCCCACACTAAGTATATATCATCTAGCAGGAGTAAATGAAACAACGAACACGTCACTTTGTGACATTTCATTGACTACCTCCAAAATACGAGTCTCATCATCTCAAATACCTTCACTTTTCATCGTCTTAGTAATTTACGATGTGTTTTGAGGTCGAAATCGTATTGTTGATGTCATTCAAGTGCTTCTATGGGGTAACAGAAATTCTCATTTGAACTATTTGAGCATTGAAGGTATCCTGATCAACAGTAGACTAGATGGTTTGAAAACCTTGGACACCAAGTCAGTATCATTTATCGTATAGGGTGTATTTTTATTTGTGTAATCCCGGCGTAGTATATTAGAACAAATAACAAAATAAACAAATATTTTGCATTACTCCTCAACGTTTCGATCTTGCTAGGGAGATCCTTTTCACGAGTGTGAATCTGACATTAAGTTTTCTGGTTAATATTCAAGTTTTGGTACAGAAGGTGGTGACCTTTACAATCACCAGTTACATCGTAATGTGGAACAAAGATCAATGTAATACAGGTGAATGAATAAGCAAATCGGTCAGAGAGGCTTTTTTCGGTTGTGCAAGTAAGGTGCAACGAAAAATAGAGTGGGGAATTTTAGTTAGACTATGAAAAGTACAATGGGGTTGGGAGTCATCAAGGGTGCGAAAGAATAGGTTACTAGTTTGGAAAGATAAATATTTGAACATCAAATTAATAATAATGATAATAATAGTGATCTCATAGCTCAGTTGGTAGAACATTAAGCCGGAAACCCGGCGGTCGCTGGTTCGAATCCGGCCGCGGTCCAAATTTTCATTTCACCTTGAATTATCACCCAGTATAAATACTAATCTGCCAAACTACGGCTATCTCAAATAGTCAAATGATAATAGTAGTAACGATAAAGGTACTTTTGATAACACTTGAAGTACGAATGTTGACAAAATCGATCTGCTCATTCACTTACCTGCATTACATTGATCTTTGTTCCACATTACGATGTAACTGGTGATTGTAAAGGTCACCACCTTCTGTACCAAAACTTGAATATTAACCAGAAAACTTAATGTCAGATTCACACTCGTGAAAAGGATCTCCCTAGCAAGATCGAAACGTTGAGGAGTAATGCAAAATATTTGTTTATTTTGTTATTTGTTCTAATATACTACGCCGGGATTACACAAATAAAAATACACCCTATACGATGTATCTGAGCATTCTTGAGAAAGCGCTCACCTTCAGGATTGAGCGTTCCTTATGCAGCAGTTTTCCCTTGTAGTGGGTAGGGTTTTTAAAGAACCATGTTATACACTAAGTGATATGAGTTTGATGACTAATTAGATTGATTTCAGAAACTGATCTTAGAGAAAACGTGATTAGACTTCAGTAAAAAAAGATTTCAATAAATTCACAATGTTGCGATTGGATTATCGGATGACTTCTTAGAGGTTGGTGTGTCAAAAATCCGTGATTAGTCATTAGCATGGGTAAGAAGGTTTGTTTTCTGCTTGTCAACGAGTACCGTATCTCGTGGGAACTTGGTATTTGCCTGTCTGTCAAATCCGATTAAATTTGCGCAGTAGTTCGCTCTGTCTCGTACTCTGTGATTATGAGATGAGGATCTTGAGTATCGTCAACACAAAGCGATTGTGTGTTTTCGAAGCATAGGCTATATAGTGTAAGTAAGTCATTTGATAAAATTAAAGACTTGCATTTACTGACATAGCTTATATGAGTTTTGTTCAGGTCCAGATGCTATCTTCGCGTTATGTTAGTGGTAATATATTAAAGATGGATATCTTATTGTGATCAGATAAAGATATGGTACCATTTGATCACGTTTCTGACTGATAGTGTCAGTGGTAAGATAGGGGTGAGCTATCTAAGTAGAGTCCTCAAAACGTCAGGAATTAATGATTGAAGATTCTAAGTGAAATGGAGTTAATCACTGTGGCACAGATGCTTTCATTATTTATCTTTCTAACAACCTTGGGTCATGTGATACTTCTTACAGAACTTTTCTGCGTTCTCTTATATCCTTCTTGTTTTTCCTAAATATCTTTACACTTATAGTGATCTTGTTGACTAGCAGAGTAATCTAGGACCCGCGTTTGGTCCTGTTTGGGACTCGTTAGCTGGGTGTACCAGCACCCTAGTGAGTGGTGTTGTTCCCACCGAAGCTTGAATCCAGTACCTTTCGTTTCAAATGCCAGAGCGTTTTCCTCTAGGCCACTGGGGCACAATAGCCACCTCTTTAAACTTTCGCTGAATTTCCCTTTCATTACTGTTGCAAAATGTGATGGCTATAGTTTTCTAATTACATAGCTGCGTTATTGTTTATATGTCTTTTGAAAGTCTTCTAGAAAACGATTATTTGTTTTTTCAACCCATAGAGACCTACCTCTGTTCCTATAATCGTAACACTGTTGGTCAAGTTTCTAGTCAGATACTCCCACTTCACATTTTGAAGTCGCAAAACATAGTTGTAGCTCTGATTCATTAATCTGTGGAAAGATCATTTCCTTGTTTGAATGCCATGAACAATGTAGGGCCGGGCTTGATTATGGTTTCCTGTGAACTGCCATACATCCCGTTGTTTATTCCACTGTCTGCCAGATAGTTCTGTTGATCGACACAGACTGACTATATTATTTAGTTACATTATTTAACATTTGCTTTACATGTATTCTGTTCAGTATATGTTACAGCTATTTCTAAGTTAAATCTTTTATTTGATAGTTCAAAGTTATAATATTATTCCGTCAATTCATTGTTTACGCCATAATTCTCAATATTTTATTCTTAGGATTATTTAGTTTCAGCTATTCAAGCAGAACTCCATAACTGGAATGACACATGGCAAGTTAATAACTGGAATCCTGAATTAGCCGTTCCTTTCTCTTACTGGTTAATACAAAATCTTCCAATGTCAGGTTCATTAAAATCTCATATATTGAGCATTGATCATGTGGTGCAACGTTTACGTGCTCTACTAGAAGTTATACGCCGTGTAAGATTTATTTTTAACCTTAAAATGCATGTACAAGAGAGTTGATTCAGCGAAAGCATAGTTAAAACTCGATTTGACTGGATGTTTAATTTTAAAATTCTGATATACTATTGCACATATACATATACCATAAAATAATGATGCAACTCCAGGTAGTCAAGTATATGTATCAGGCTACGAATGATACTTAATTCTTTAGGATTTATGGTGTTATTGTTTTTAAACGAAGTAGGTGAAGCAGAAAACAGATCCTCAAGCCTTCACTTTCAAATCAATTGCTTAAGCCGATGAGTTACATTTCCACAGAAAATGCGAAGTGTTTACGTATGATTTTGTAATCAGCATACGATACGTTAACAGTGTAGACAACGTCGCACAGCAGGGTATTTAAAATTGGTGCAAGAAAAAGTCGAATTTGATGATTGATAGGAACCTATACTTCTCAGCAGATATAACATATATCTCATTGTTTTATGCTGCTGCATTTTATGAGGAAATCGAAAAAAACTTGAAAGGTTTTAGATTAAAAAGAGGAGTGAGGATACGATAGGCGTTAATGTTGATAAGGTGTTGATGCTGTTGAGCAATACAAAGGACTAATACGTTTGTATCATCTCACGTAGGATCCTTAGCACTGTTTCTTGTTGTATATGTACCCCCATGTAGTTCAAATCAGTTATCAATGGGTTCATTTGTTTATGCAATACTTTGGTCTACTGTTAGTTTTCTGTAAACCAAGCCTACTTTAAACGGGCTTGGTCTCTGTCGTAGACGGTGGTTCCGCACAACAGTTCAAATCTGAGATACAAAGGACGTAATGTCATCGAATGTTTCGCCCGCAGTAATTTTTCATGATGGACCATTGGATTTTGTATCTACTTAAAAAGAAATTCATCAACTGTCAATAATCAGGTCACTATATCGTCCAAGTCATCTATGAAGACTATATTCTAGTGAAACTTTATGATAATTTGTCTATTTCACCGCACATATGTCAACATGATTATAGATTTCACTGACAAAATTTTACAATCTTTAGAAATGCTACTTCAAAGAAAACAACAACTCCAGCAAGTGATCGCTCAATAGGTATATAAATTATGGCATCATTTATTCACTCATTTTGAACAAGTTCATGTACTGGTATCCTGACTCCAGTGATGATTTTGAAGAAGTAAAATAAGTCCTACTAGGGAACAATAAACATAAGGAGCAGCTCACAACTTTATCAAAAATGAACAGTATCACAGAACACACACAATTTGCTCAGCAGAATTGTAACTATTTTGAAAAATAATTAGACAGATTATACAACGTTTTCACTCGTAGACCTGGGGTGAGGAGTCAGACAAACCAGAATAAGAAATGTGGATCGGTAGTCTAGGGAACTGACTTTCAACCAATGGGTTACGGGTTCTAACCCCACTCCACTTACCGGGGCTTGGGAAACCAGGTAGTATTAGTCTTGACACTGTAGGTGTAGCTCATTGCCTACTGTGCGAGTGTGCACTAGTTTGCTGATTTCACTTTTTTTCACGGAAACCAGCCACATGAAAACTCATCAGAAAAAAAGCAGTAATGGAAGGTGATAGTAATACTGCTTTGGATTTAAGTTTAAAAGTCAATCCAATAAAAACCGCCGATATATCAGTAAAAATAACTGCAAAATAATCGAACACCAGTCGTGATAGTAGTCAATTATTATTATTTGTCCCTTGTGTTCTTAGTGGACATAGGGCTTCAGTAGCACGTCTACAGTGCACTCTGTTCTCTGCAAACTTTTGAACCTGACTTCACAACAGCCCAGAAGCTCTCATTTATTCCTCGCACGATCTCCTCCATGTCATCCTTGGACGTCCAACTCATAGCTTCCCATCTGAGTTCCACTCGAGCGACTGGCCTGGCGCGTGATGTTCCCAGTCGGCCTTCTCCATGTATGCCCAATCCATCTCCACTTCCTTCTGCATATTTGTTGAGTAATAGGTTCTTGGTTGGTTTATTGCCAGCTAGAGTGAGTTCCTTGTTGCTTATTCTTTCTGACAATCCATCTGAGCTTCAGTAACGAGCCAGTGTATGCAGTTGTTGATGAATATCTGTAGTTTGTTGGAAATGCCTTTCGTAAAGCGCCAAGTTTCTGAACCATATAGGAGCACTGACTTGACATTGGTGTTCAAAATCCGGATCTTGTTCTCGCTTCATGCTGAGTCCAAAAGATCTCCACCCTGGTTTCAGGTTAATGAAGGCCTGTCTTACTGTCTTTCCGATCCTGGCTTTGAGGTCCTCGTCTATGCTTGTGCCACCTGTATTTGAAACAGTGCTGCCTATATAGGTGAAAGAGACAACTTCCTTTAGGTGTCTCCCGTTGATGGTAGTTAATGCTTGTTGTAGTTGTTGTTGGTTGGGTATCTTCATCACCTATAGTAGTCAATACTAGAATAATACCTCAATTATATATATATATATATATATATATATATATATATATATACTGAGGGGTTAAACTCAGTACCTAAAAAAGGAGATCCCACTAATGAACTCACCGAAAAGAAAGTAAGGAATCAACAACTTCCCTTCTGACCTACTTATCTGAAATTACCCATAGACACTCGTGAAGAATATTTTACATCCAGTTCTTTGTGAAGCTATACGCGAACTGAAGTATATATCGAAATCAAATACAGTAGTAAAACTGCCAGGAAATATTTTTCATATCGCTAATCCTTTAAATGGCTTGTCATCATTTGGAAAGAATATTCAACACTGTCTTTTAGTTTAATCTGTTATTCATAACTTTCGCTATCTATTTTGATTGCTCTTTAGTCAACAGCATGTGTATGTGCATCATGTGATGCAAATATCACTTCGAATCAGTACATCGTTTGTCTCGCTCAAGAGGGAAGTTCGCAAACTTACATCAATCCATCTGGTATTTTACACGATATTATAACTGTTAGTCAAGTTATACCGAACTCCATTAGTCCTGTTGGTGAAGCTTCATCAGAGTATTCTTGGTTTCCTGGGTATGTTTATGTATTATTGCTGTCTCTTTAATAATCTGTCTAACGGAATTTTCTCATTAAAGCATTTTAGACTTTCTAGTCTAGGTTCCCTATAACAATAACGAATTATGCTTGCATACTTGTCTTAAAATCGATGAAACAAATGGATTTACCATTTTTATGACTTTAAATGGTGTACAATCTTACTAATTATTCTTTGTCATGATTTTTCTTTATACTTGATAAGTTAATCAAACTACTAACGATAAAAAAGTTCTTACGTGAAAAGATGACAAGTAGTTTTAATCTACATCAGTTGTTTTTAATGAAATGCTTGGTAAATGACCGACATATATTAAGCCTCTTACGCCCGACCCAACCTCTCATTCTGCAACCATTTCCAACAATCTAAGCCATCGGAACCTCATTCCTAGTCTTCTAAGACCCCTCTATCGATTTCATGTAGGAGCTTTCAACGTCTGAACTCTCTGCCAAGTCGGGCAACAAGTATCGCTCGCAAAAGCTGTGAAATCTGGAGCCACGAATGTATGCTGTGTCTCTGAGACACATATACAGGGCTCGAGTATTGTTATAAAATTGACCTCACCAGACCAGTGCTGTAAATTTCCAAAGTCACCTTACGAGTATCCAGAGACCCAGTGGTGTAGACATAGCATTGAATTATCGAGTAGAAAGTACACTTCTCGATTGGATATCAGTCACTAGCCGTCTGTGTGCTATTCGACTGAATGGATCGGTAAGGACTTGGAAGGATCATGAGCCTAAACTATACCTATTCGTAATCTTCACCTACGCACCCACCGACTGTATTTCAGATGATACAGAGGATAAATTCTATGATAGTCTGTCAGATGTAGTAATAATACCAGGTTACTTTAATGTTCAAGTAGGGAAGCTGAAAATACCAGAAACGCGTCTTGGGGGTATCTATGAAATCCCTGCCAGCGAACTGACAACGGTGATCGTTTGTTGCAAACATCACTTTTTTTTCTGGCTAACACTAACTCTGGACATAAGAAGTGAAACTATTTCACAGGGTGTCCGCCGACATCAAACCAACGATGGACACAGATCACATTGCTATAAGTCATCTTTAGAGAGGTTCAGTGGAGGATCGCTGCTCTTTCCGTAGTACTTGTTTGAACTTCACTCGTGCGCTAGTACAGGCGATTGTAAAACCTGTCTATGCTCGATTGGAAGATGAGGACGCCGAGTACGCATTTAGAGAGGAGTTAGCTTAGCATTTATCTGGTGTGATATTAAATCTACTGTAGAAACAACGGTAAAGATAGTTGCTAACGTACACCTGAAGGTTAGCAAACGTCAGTGAGTTTCCGCGACGTCATCCGAACGGAATGGTGCGAGAAGACTGACTCCAGCTGGGTCTAGCCATGAGGAAGAGCGTAACCAACTTGGACGTAAGTTGATGGAGAGTCTTCACGTTGACCACGAGGTGTGGTGGGTGGTGAGAGTGATAGAGAACGCATCACAGTTGGATAACACTCCCCTACTACTAACCTCATCGAGGATACTGGCAGGAAGAAGGCGATGGTGAGTGGAACCATGACCAAAAAGAATCTAACGCTAATAACCTCCTACAATAGATGGCTAAAACGTTGGGCAGAACACTTTGAAGCACAGTTAAAATGGTTCTCAGCAACGCTTCAGTTGCTCAACATCCATCCTGAACCTGAATGGGAGGTAGATGATGGTCCTGCAACTCTCCTTAAAGTTGAGGAAGCTTTATCGAACCTGAAACTATGCAAAACAGCAGGACTTGACAGTTTGCCACCTGAAGTTCTCAAGAATGGAGATAGGGGATCGCTGGATGGAGTGATGGAGGTATTACGTAGTGTATGGGAATCAGAGGTAGTCCCGTCAGACTGGTGTACTTCCCTGACCCATCCCAGTCTACAAGAAGGGGAGGAAAAGTCTTCTTGTGACTACCATAGGGGAATCACCGTGTGAGCAATGTTGAGGTCAGGCAAAGGACACTAGGCAAGTCGATTGATGATGTTATGAACCCCAGTCGCCTGAAATGGCTTGACATGTACTGTACATGCCGAACCACTGCTTACTTCGACGTGGCATACTAGAGTAAGTTGGATTATATTGGAAGGGGGATGGTGGAGATTAGAGCAAGACGTGACACGGGTCGATGAAGTCTGTTAGTGTTGGTCTGAGTCGTGTGAAGAGATGTGGAGTGTGTTGTTTTGGTCCTTAAGATGAAAGTAATCAGTGGTTGAGAAGTGATTCTTGGTGAGATGGCTGAAAATCGGTGACAGTGGCGTAGATGTGTTCACTCCTTGACATCTTTTAAAGCTTGAATATTTACACTAACCATTGTTTTCAAATTGTTTATTCTCTCACAGTACTTTATCTACTTTGAAATCACTCCTTTTCTATCCACCTTTTCTTTATGTACTACTGTGTAATGTGGCAACCTGAGCCGATGCACTTGTATGCATAGTTCTACGTTGATTTTGTTAGTCAAATTACCGATCTGTGCTATTGTCTTCTAGTTTTTCTTCATCTATTCCTACCACCGATTTCTCCACACTATCTTAACCTTCCTTCACTTCCATTGTTGATGTAAAATATTCGGATTTACTCTTCGAGGATTTGAACATTCGATAAGTGATTGTTTCATATTTGTATGTGTGTAGGTACTGTTCTAAGTTTGAGGACGCCCCTCGACTGCATTCAAACTGATTATCGTCTGTGTTTGAATAATTGATCACTAAGGTTCTCATAAAGAGCAGGATACAAATATATTCATGTTTCTTATTGTTACTGACACGCTTATCTTAAATTATGTTAAAATCCAACTTGAACCCCCTGAAAGTCCATCAAACATCCATAAAAGTGTCGGTAATACATGTGTAATTGGTGATGAGTTTGTAACCAGTAGAATACAATCAAATCAGCATCTTTCTATACGCGTTAAAAAATTCAGCTTTTTTGATGATATGCTAAGTAGGCAATAAACGTAAATATACAAGTTGATGTGGTTCATAGCATGAAGTATTCATTATCATTTTAATAAAATAAAATAATGTTGCATGATCTTAATTAGCATTACCTTTTTACGAAAGAGAAAAATTGATATTAGATGGTTGGAAGCTTGTTGGCATTTGTCAGCAAGGTGTATCTGCAACCTTGAAGGAACTGATGTCGTCCATGAGACTTGAATTCGCGTCATCTAGCGCTACGATTAGTGGCGTTACCACAGCTATTCAAGTAGCAATTGATCTTATGTAGAACTGGATTGGTTTGTAGAAAGTAATCATTTTATAATGTGATCATCTGATTAGGGAGGCCTAACATCATAATGCACTTTGATTTATGAAACATCCCTCCTTTATTATTTTTTTTATCACTAACAAAGTAAATTAGCAGTTTTTATTGTTTGTACTGGGTGATGATTGAAGGCGAGATGAAATTCTGGACCGTGGTTGGATTCGAACCAGCGACCCCTGGGTACAAATACTAGTCTCTCAAACTACGGCTATCAAATCATAGTTTTATTATTGTTTAGTTTTAACCTGAGTTTTGATGCATCTTATGTTGGTTGTAGACAGAAGTTAAGTCATCTGAGACTTTAAGATTTCTTTTTCAGTTCAATATCAGCAACACCACGTTAAAATATCGTGGTTTCCTTGGCTAAATAATCTTTATCAGCTGATACATTGCAAATCACCAGCAATCCAGGCAAAATATAGAGCACAATTTTTATGATATTTATAATTCATTAAAAATTTGCATTATAATTAGAAAGCCATTTAGGTCAACAAAGAATATTCTTTTCGATAACATTCTTCAGATTCTACAGTTATATATGCCTAATTGAGTAATTATACTTCAATAATATTGAGAATTTGGTTTATTAGTTTTTTAATAAAACTATACAGTTGAAATCAGTTCAGAAAAGTCTTGTGAACGTTAATGATAGGATCAATTGTTGCTGGGATTCAGTTCAAAATACTTCATCACCTAAATGATTATACTGCATAGGTAAGGTGATAGATTAGTAAAACAATAAGAAGGTGATTATGAGACCTGAATGAAATAAACTAAGAAAGATAATTTAAAGACTAATAGCTTGATAAAATGTTACTCATGTTAGATGACGAAATAGATTAAAAGTATTTGTTAAAATTATTTCAGATTATAGGGATAAAAGGGGTATCTAGAGTATGGTTATTCGATAATCAGATTAATTGGGGTAGGATGTAAGTGAATTTGTGCGTTTCAAATTGGTCATGATAGTTGTAGCAGAGACATTTGCTTTTTCTGAACACATAACTCCAACAGTTTGATCCTGATTACTACTGTTTCTCCAATTAGAAGGATTCGGACTCAATTACTTTTTGAAAAGTTGGTGGGAACATGGTACCAAATAAAATAAATAGAGAAAGACTCTAAATGATTTCCTGAAAGTTTCTTAAATAACGAATTAAGCGTCTTTATTTCATGGGAATACTATCTTTCCAATTGAAATATTAGAAAAAAACTCAGTTGGTTTTTGCAGTATTTGCTCAGTTCGCCTTTAGTATCACACCAATGAACCTACAAATATGAAGTGTGATACAGCTGTTTATTGAAATCTTTAGTTTCCGTACAGAATATGTATCAAGATGTTGATTACTATGAACTCTGCTACTTGTTTTAACTGTCCTATTAAATCTTTGTAAATCTTAACAACAAACAAAAGAAATAAAGGACATTACTACTATGAAAGCAAAGAAAAACAATGTGCGTAAATTCAGATGTTTCTGTGGTATCTCATCTAGCTGCCTGTTGAATTATGCACGTTCCATTTACTTGGTTTTTGGCTTTTTGCCTTCATATGTTGTTTGTGACATGTAGCCTAGTAGGCAAACATGTTCGAAACCAGTGCAGCTTAAAAAAACTTTCTCTGATGTTGATGATTTTATTATGAGGCTTGGATTGATGTAGGCGAAACAGACTTAAAGTATATAAACTAATATTTGGTTAATCCAAATGAACTATGATCAAGATTTGACTGAATAGTATCGTGAATATTTGGTGCCGAGTAAATAGTGAACGTTCGATCTAGGCTACAGCGTGTTTAAAATAAAGTAATTCTTACGTTTCGCACGTAAGAAGCTCAACTTAACTGTATCTCATGCTTGAGAGTAATAAATCAAAGCTAATAAAACGTCGCCCATTAAGCTACAATAATCTCTGGCTTAAGCTGGTGTATACCTGTATGAATATTTATGATCACTATAATCCTTATAGTTTGAATCTACTTTACATTGGGATAATTTGTCTAAATTTTGCCATTTTATTTTCTAGATATTCTTGGACGATAACCAATTGCAGTGGATGCTATCAGCATATAGGATGGTTATTTACTGCTTTAAATGATCAGCTGCGTCCACGGAGATTTTGGGGTATTCGACGTCAAGCAGTTGTACCCGGTTTAATAAGTGCATCAGATTGGCGTCCTTGTATTTAGTTAAGTAAATCGCTAATTTTTTTTCTCTGCTAAAAACAGCGTGATCAAAAAAAACAAAATTTCTTTTCATATTTTAAACTTTTCACTTACATTTGCCTAGAACAGATGTGTTACCTGTGACTCTGTTTTTCATATTATTAATTAAACTGTTCATACATTTTTCATTTGTTTCTCATTTTTACATGGAAGACATGTATTGTCACCTCATCATCACCATTCTTATAAGATAACACCAATAGGTGTGAAATCAACTGTTTTGTTTAACCTAATATCTATGCTCTGATTATCGGATGGTTCTATGTAACATTGCTTTTACTGGATTCATAGCTTTGATTAGCTGATATCCATTTGGTTTAAGATTTATGATTCTGTCTTAAATTCTTAGCCAGTCTTATGGTAATCAATGGACTCAAAAATTATGCGTTAATCTGTTTTTACTAACTTTGTCTTGTTGCACACACAAACATACACTGAGTTATTAGTAACATCAATCTTTTGTTCTGCTTCATGTTTTACTTTTCTGTGTAGAGAACATTAGTCTGTGATTTGTTATTCTCGGTGCAGTCGAGAGTGTATTAACATGTTGAACTGGAAAATGACTCATTAATGAATTGGTAGCTACACACATTTTGTAATGTGCACTTGCAATAAGTAGTATGTATATTGTAGTCTGTTTTCTTTTTCCATGGTTTTTTTTATATCGGTGAAAATTCTCCAGTTATATTTTCATTGTCAAACGTCAACTGAATTACTTCTTGTTAGTGTTGACAAGATTGGTTTTGCTGTGTATAAAACACAGCAAAAGCTGAATTTATCAAGAAAGTTGAAGTCGCCGTCATTTTCTAAGCCTACGCAACTTTCATCTATATTGAACATTTTAAGTTAAGTCTGGAAAGATAAATCCCTGAAAAGTTGATTGTGTAATGTGAAGGATTAGATGTGAGGATGAATTAATGATGTTACATTAGGTGTGTTTGTAAAGGATTATTTCGCCGTAGCACATAATTTCGTCATGAACATCATTTTATTAGAAAATCAACTACTGTTTGTAAGAAATTTCCAACTTCGTGATATGGTTTTATGCACATACTCAAATCAGTTACAGATGCAGTGTAGGTCAGTCATTTAATGGAGCCGTGGCTCATTAGTTTATGGAGAAAATTGTCAACTAGTGGGTAACAGGTTCGAGCCCCGGTTCACATACCGAGGTTCGGGCAGCTAGGAAGTATCATCAATCCTCACGCATTATATGTGGCTCATCGTTTACTGCACAGATATACACAAGGTGGCTTAGTGCATGAGTCAGTTAATCAGATACATTCATGTTTTATTTTTCATACTTAGATGGTTTCTAACTTATGGTGAGTGTATTTCATATGCGATGAATACTTGAGTAAGAAACTTTTAAATGCACTTTATTCTATGCAGAAAAATCGAAATAAATCTCGATTACTAAATAACAAAACTTTTGTTATGAGTCACGCTTCTTGTATAAATTCTGACGGTCGTATCCTGTTTTAATATCTTTTCAAAAGTGGACAACAATACTACAAAACCTAATATATCCCTTGATAAAGTTTTATCAAACAAGTGGAATAAAGTGAACTGATTTTAGTTGGATGGAGGTGATTAGCAGGAAGCCCTATATGTATGTTTCGTGGTTGGTGGCACTTGTCAGCAGAGCGTATCTGCGACCTCTACGAAACTAATGTCCAGCCTGAGATCCAAACCTGCGTCACACATTTCTGAAGTCGGAAACGTTAGCGATGAGCTGTTCAGGCCTCAACTGACCTCCTACAGGACCGGACCATGGACATTTATTGGCTAATTGAGAGCAATTAACGTCATATTGTTTAGTCCTAAGTGCTGACCGAATTCTATCAATCATTTTGCAATATGCCTAATTTAGTCCTACAGGAGATCAGTCGCGGCCCTGAATAACTCAGTGGTAACGTATCCGACTGTAGCACTGCGTGGCCCGGATTCGAATCTCAGGCGGGACATCATTTCCGTAGAGGTTGCAGATACGCCGTGTTGACGAGGGCCAAAAGCGCGAAACCTAGGTCCAGACCTTACCGATCCCCTCCATCCAACTAACATCTGTAAAAGTGCATCGTGAGGTTGAGTCAACTAGCCTGGTGGCCACATTGCAAAGTGATCGGTAAAATTCTATCAGCACCTAAGACTAGACAACATGAAGTTGGTTACTCTGCATGAACTAATCAAAGTGAACTTCTTTTGCTGTTAGTCCTTCTTGTAACGAAGCAATTTTAAAAACTGAATAGCTTTGGGTTACTGTTCGTCGGGGTTATCTATCAAATCACTAATTTCAGTTGTAGAAATAAACAGAACATATTGCGGTCATTCACGTTCAATTTTTGGGAAGAAAATTTTCTGTCTGGACTACAAGATATCTTCACACTAGTTGTCTATGTGGATTAAGAAGAGTTTTAAATACCCCTTGGGTTAGGGGGCATATATCACGAGCACAGATGAGTTGTCTGTTGGTAGAAAACTAGGTGTATCAGTCGTTTGGTGTGAATTTTATCCGAACAGGTTCATGAACACCACAAAGCAGAATAAATGGGTAGGTAAAAGACGGGTAGATCAGAAGTGTGGCAATTGTAAATCTCACAGTGATAAAGCGTTCTCAATCCAAAGTGGGAAGGAATTTATTGAATATGGCGCGTCTTTTATGCTCATAGAAAGGTGGACACACGAAGAGACCCACTATAGTAAATGATTATCAGTCACGAGAACTGTTTTCTGCATTCGCTCTTATTCACATCTAAATGTTGATTTCGGTCTGCTTCAAAGTACCTCTGATTACACTTCATTTTTAGACTTATTTAGTTTTATCAGACGACCGTTATTTGCAAATCTAACAATCTTCTCAGTTCACTTATGACTTATTATTCTGATAACAATTCTGACTGTTTACATTGCGCTAGACATAATAATCACTTATTTCTGTACATAATGTTCAGTTCTACAAAATCTACTGAAGCGGTCGGGAAGATATTTCTGATAACAATGTAGAAAACCTTGACTGTCCAATTTAAAGAATAAAATTGGCAGTGAGATTTCTTTACAGCAAATCATACTTCTATATCCAATATCTGGATATTAGCCAAACAGCAATATTCCTGTGTTAAATTTTTTCAAACCTTATATACGAAATAATGCAAGAACATTTAAGTAATAATAACTTGTCCACTTGATCTTTGGTTGTTGTAAATATGATTTATTCCTGTAATATACAAAATTATTCTTGAGGTCATATCCAATTTGCTCTTCAATTAAACCGTATGTCAAGTAGGTTACTGTTTACTCGCTAAAATTGCTTTGAAGTCTCCAATGAACAAATCCATCTTCACACTTTATTAAATCATTTTCTTCGGGAAATTGTTGAAGATCTTTTTCTCATTACTCAATTCTTACCATCAACGAGTTAGGTACATATGATCCTTTACTACTGCTTCGAATATTTTTACAATATTAATCAACTTCGAAGGGCTTCTTAGTATCTTGTTCAAATGTGCACGGAATTCTCATTTAAACGCTGACTGTGAAACTTTTTATACGAATCTTTCTCTTATTTGGAAAACACTCAGAACGGAATTTATCGTAGTCAGATAAGAAAATTATTTCACTTCGATGGTTTTTCATCAGTTGCATACAAGAGATGCTTCATGAAAGGATCATATTGGAATGTAGAGAAACCATTTTTCTAATGAAACAATATTAGCTTAAAAATCGGTATGCGATGAAATTTCGTGTAGAAATGCTGAAAATCCGGTGCACAGAGAAGAAATGTAGCATAGTAAGCAAAAGACGCGTATTTTATAGTTAAAATTTAGTAGCAATGATGTTACGGGCTGAATCAATAGACAAATTTGGAGTGCTATATGCAAAACTTATCTATTTCTATAACCTTGTTCACTGTATCAATTGGTATTTTCAGTAACAGAGTGGACTTCTGAATACTATTGTTTTCAACTGTATATACTAGTTTAAATTTACATGCGACAACTGCTTTGCAGTAAGAACGCAGGGGAAATTATCTACTGTAATTTTTCAGTCATCATTATCAACATAGGACCAGGCATTACTGCGTAACGGTCCGAGTTGCCACACGTCATATCAGCACATCAAGTAAAAAGGTAGTGAGGTAAAGGATGAAGATAAGTGAATGCAGTCGAAAGAAATATAAAGTACGAAAAGAAAAGAAAGAGGAGTGACAAAATGGTGAGATTCGGTATAGTGTTGTTAAGATGAGGATAATATGTGCATACATCTGCGCCACTGACTTCGGTTCTGAGCCATATCACCTAGGGTCTCCAACCACTGGTTCCTCTTGTCCCCTGGACCCCAACCACCTAGTCTGCATCGTCCTACATGGCTTAAACCAACAGTCAGAGACTTCATGCATTGGTGCCATGTTTTAGTCTGGCCACCTCGGGCCTTTCTCCAGTCTGGACCCACCTCAGCCAACATTGTGTGACGAGGCAATCGGTGGCTAGGCATACGTAGTACGTGTACCAACCATCTCAGTCGATGAAGGTTCACAACCTCGTCGACTGACTTACCTCTTCTCCCCAAAACTCTACACCTAACTTCTGCATTACTCATATGGTGACACCACGGAATACGTCCTATATTACGAAGGCAACGGTGGTCAAACACCTGAAGCCTTTTTGTATCCCCCACTTTCAATGGCCATTTTTCAGTAGTTGCCTAAGAGTATACATTTCATAGCTTGGACCACATCCAACAGTGAAATAGCCGGTGATATAGAGTAATGTGAGCCAGAAGAAGAGTTAATTCTTCTATGGATCGCAGAAGATATCACCTTCAGGTAAATACAAGCTTAACTGAGTGATCATAAACTTCATACTTGTCTGTTAAAGAGTTGGTGGAATTTTGACCAAAAATTCTGACAACCTTAACAAAACCAAAATATTTATTTAGTGTTTAACGCCAATGGTCCTCAGTTTTGAAAATTATTTTATGATTATGGTATATGAAACAATTAATCCCTTTAATAAATTTCCCTAATTTTATTCGAAAATGAAGATTATCTGTGGAATGTAATGTGTTTGTGCAATACATTTTGAACAATCTAAGGGACCAGTTGTTTCAAATTTCTGAAAAGAAGATTCCCTTCTTGCTCTGTTAAACAGTTAGATAAACTGTTTAGCTTCAAGTGCAAAATAGCATCTGAAAAAGTGAAACTGGAATTTTATAAATCATGTAGATCTAATCATACATTCCCAAGTTCATTCTATAAATCTTTATGATGTTCAAAATTACATCTCAACGTGTTAAATTTTATTCGCCTTACGAACTCTTGCATTAATAGTTGCAGAGAGAATTTAAGCTGATTAATTGAAGCTCATATATCTGCTTCTTCTGGACTGTCTAATATTTCTGTAGTTTGTCATATCTAATTTATCGATTTTTGTAGTTATGATTAAAACCAAAGCCGAAACTAAAGAAAAATTATAAGAACGTTGCATTAATGTCCTTCTCATATAGTCGTTTCAATGTTAATCCGGATAAATTTGTGACGAACTTGTCTGTAGTTGAACTTTCGGTATTTTTCATTTCCACATTATCATAGTGATGATTTACCATGGATATTCATTTCGAAAATCTATATGATAAGTTAAGTTCGTTAGTTC